GGACCCGGACCCGGACATTTCCGGACATCAAACCGGACACGTGTCCGGTTGTTTTCGGACGTTCGAAATTCCGGACATCTTCCGGACACCGGACATGACGGGATCCGGACAGCCCGGATGTCTAGTGAGGTCCGGAAAAAAAAAAAACGATTTTTTTTTTTTTTTTTTTTTCACAAGTCCTGGTGTCTTTTGATGACCTGACACATTTGGCGTTGCAGCTTACATAAGTCTTAGGCAACTTCAAGGTTCAATAATAGATGAGGTTCAATAATAGATGAAGCTGATCAACAGACAAAACAAAAAAAACAAAATTTAAAATCAATAAAAGAAAGTTGAGAAACGAACTTCAAAAACATACATACCTCCAAGCCGCTTCAATGTGGTACTTGCAACCATACAGTTCAACAAGTGACAACAGCATACAAACAAAACTACAAAAACATTTGAAAACATCACTTCTCACAGAACTGCAGAGAACAGTCCCAAAGACGTCCATACTCCATATGAGTCCATAGGAAAATGTGTTCACATAACTTACTCTCTCTCTCTCTCTCTCTCTCTCTCTCTGCGTTTTTTTTTAGCAAGGGGCTCATCTTCAGAATCAGCGCCCGATGATTTTGAAGATTCTTTTGTGCTGCATTCCTCCCCCTCTTTCAATCTCTCCTCGTCTTCCACTTCGGCGCTGCCCTTCTGAGATGATTCCCCCTCTTCCCCAGTCTCCCTTGCGTCCACCTGCACCTCCTCTTCCTGCAACACCTTCCTTGGTCGCCCCTTGGATCTTTTTCCAAGCCCCTTTGCTGCAACCTCGAGACCAGCATCTTGTTTGCTCCCCCGCTCGGATGCCTCTGCATCTCCGGGCGCCTGCTCCTCGTCTGCCTCCGTGCCCTGCACATGTGCCACCTTACGTGGTCGCCCCGGAGGCCTCTTTGCAGGCGCCTTCACATTGGGTGCGCACGCTTGAGCTCTTGCATTGATATACTTCTCAGCGTGTCAGATGTCATAGTCTTGCCTGCATGCTGAGATTCCTGCAAATGCAAGCGGGCGAGGTACTTGGAAGGCCGTATGGCCATCCTCAATGAAGGTAGCTCCTTGTTCAACTCCCTTTCGAGCTCAAGCAAGCTGCTGGTGGCCCGCTGGCGTGCAATGGTGCTTGTCTTGGCCATGTTATCACGGGTGCCATCATCGTCGTTGTCATCTTCATCCTCACAACCTCTGCCTCCTCCCTGTCGCCACGCAGCTTGGCTCTCCACTCCTGCACCCTCTTCTTTGCGTTGCTCTGCTATCAAGCCCCCGAGCCCATTCCTCCAAGGCTTCTTCTTCGGGTCTTCCTTTTCAACCGTCTTCTTCTCAAGCTTGTCCAACACATGCTGGTTCCATCTGTTGTATACCAATGTGCTCAATTGTGCGACGACAAGGCTGTTGCGTGGTTTGGAGTGAATCCTTTCGAAAAGACTCCAATTCCGCTCACAACCGGAAGCAGACGACCGCTGTCCAAGCAAACGGATTGCCTCGCGTTGCAAGTTTGGCTACTCAGTGCACCACTTTCTCCACCATCTTGCTGGTTGGCCGCTGTCTGCCTCTGCAAGTGCCCTCTCGCTTCTGAACTTGCATGTCCCTTCAATCTAGCAATTCACCTCCTCGTCCATCTCCTTGTACTCCGTTGGTTTCACCCAAGAGTACACCCACGTCCAAAAACCATCCATCACCTCAGGGTCCTTTTCCAAGCTCGAGTCCCTGAACTCAGGATCAAGGAACATTGCTGCGCAATGCAGCGGAGAAGTCATAGTGTTCCACCTCCGCATTATGATCTCCTCGAGCTCTTCCTTCTCCATTCTGTGAAGCACTCCTCGCTGTGTAAGCTCTCCACAGCCGCGTCCATGCCGGCGTAGATCTTGCTCATCGTTGGTGCAACTCTGTCGCTCAACTTCAAGAGTTGAAGTAGTTTCTCGGACGTCTTTTGCACCTTCTCGACTCCTGCCCAAAAATCATTGTCGAGGATGGTCTCCGTCGCAGCAGCAAACAAATGCCGCTGCCCGGGAAGCACGATGCTATCCTTCCAGTCCTTGTCCGTCAAACACGTTCGCAACGGCAGGTACAAGTCCTGCACACTGTCCAGCATGATGAAATTCGTGGCGAACCGAGTCGCTCCAGGCCTTGCGAGAATTGCTCCCTGGGAATTGACGAGGAACAAGTCCCTCACCCTCGAGTGTTTCATAAAAAACTTCACTACTTCCGCCGACTTCTTCAAAATGACGTCCACCCACCTGATATTCCCAAACTGTTCGAGCATCAGGTCAATGTTGTGCGCTGTGCACGACACTGAGAAGATGTGTTTGAACTCCGTCTCAACCATCCGCCCTGCGGCTGCACCGGTCGCTGCATTGCCCATCACCACCCCCACCACTGCCTCCTCCCCGATCTCGCGGATAGCCGTGGGCAAAATGTCGAAGTATGCCTTTGCCCCCTTCTCTCGGCGCTGCATACAAACAGCCCGCCAAAAGACGACACCTTTGGGGAAGGAGACCATCACATTTATGAATGGTCTTCCTCGCCGATCAGTGCACCCATCGAGTTGCAACATGCAACTGCTGACGGGCCATTCCTTGCGCAACTGCTCCATCCTCTCGGACACCCACTTCCGCGTGACAACCACCCTTTTTGTTCGCACCTCGTCGAATTTGGCGTACTGGAAGGACTTCGGCGCGTTCATCAGCGCCTTCACCATGCGATCCCAATACATGCTCCGCATCATGTTGAAGGGCACACACTCAACTGTCATCCAATCGTCGACTGTACGCTGGGTTTGCTCGTTCGCAGTGATGATGGTTGCGCTGTCAACGATTTTTGTTTGCCTGGCGTGCGTTGTCGAGGACTTGGTGAGAGCAACAGTGGTGACTGCATCCTCCGTGTCGATTTCATCCTCGCTCGAAGACAGATCAAGCTCAGCACCAGCTCCGGTAAGTGCACCTCCAAGCTCTGCAATGACGACGTCTCTTCCTTGCTCCCTCCGTAGCAATTCTTCCTTGTTGATTGTCCCTCTCAGACGTGTGACATTGCAGGCTCCTTTCAGGAAATGATCCCTCAGGTGGGAGGCAGTCCCGATTCTATTCTGGTTGCAGTACTTGCATCTCCACACCTTGTTTCCCTTATCAACTGCCCCAGATGCTTTCACAGCCTCGAAGTGCTTCTGCACCAGTTGTGCTGCACGCTTAGTCATGATGCTGCATCACATCCATACATATATAACTATTTCTAATTTTGGGCCTGTGACAAGCAGACGATCGGGGCCCTGCGATTTTGCACTCCGCGACGGTCCCGATCGTCCGCTAATCGTTTTCTCTTAGAAGTTGAACCGTCGTGGGCGGCTCCGCGCCAGGGCCGGTACCGGTACCGTGGCCAGTGCCAGTACCACGCGCTGACCGGGCCCACGAACAAGCGCCGGTACCAAAGCCTACTACCGGCCCTACCACACGCCGTACTGGGGTTAGCGCGTGACGCGCTACCGGTCCAGCGCGGCTACAACGTATAGAAACTACTTTTGTGGGGCACGTACACTGTCGAGGCAGGTGTTCTGGACGACACTCTAAGCTACTCGACAGAGTTACTGAGCTACTCTATGCTGAGCTACTCTTCGCTGAGCTACTCTACGCTACTCTGTAGCGCGGCTACAACGTATAGAAACGACTTTTGTGGGGCACGTACTTTGCCGAGGCAGGTGTACTGGACGGCGCTCTAAGCTACTCGACAGAGTTACTCTACTCGACTGAGCTACTCTACGCTACTCTGTAGCAATGCATAGATACCCTACGCTACTCTGTGGCAACGTGCACGTACACTGCCGAGGCAGCTGTTCTGGACGACGCTCTAAGCTACTGGACAAAGTTACTGAGCTACTCTACGCTGGGCTACTCTATGCTACTCTGTAGCGAGGCTACAACGTATGGAAACGACTTTTCTGGGGCACGTACACTGTCGAGGCAGGTGTACTGGACGACGCTCTAAGCTACTCGACAGAGTTACTCTACTCGACTGAGCTACTCTACGCTGAGCTACTCTACGCTACTATGTAGCAACGTATCGAAGCGACTTTTGTGGGGCACGTACACTGCCGAGGCAGGTGTACTGGATGGCGCTCTAAGCTACTCGACAGAGTTACTCTAAGGCGACGCCTGTTGGAAAGCTACTCGACTGAGCTACTGTACGCTATTCTGTACTCGACGGCGCTCTAAGATACTCTGTGCTACTCTACGCTGAGATACTCTATGCTACTCGACTGAGCACATACACACGCATACACGCACACGCACACGCACACACACGCACGTGCGCACACACACACACACACACACACACACACACACACACACGCACACACACACACACACACACACGCACACGCACACGCACACGCACAGAAAGAGATTGTTGTTGTTCCTAAGCTTTTTTGTCGTGGTGGAGATTGGGCTGTGCATCGGGAAGTGCTCTGCATCGAGAAGGTTGGACGCTGAGGCCTAGGCTGTGCATTTGAGCTCGCCAACATGACTGGAGGTGAGTTTTTTGTTCATTTCCGCTTTTG